TTGATTTCAAGGGCTTCTGTGACATAAATTGGGCAAAATAAGCTCCCTGAGGGCATTTCTTTTCTTTTTTTCTTAGTATTCTTGACACTTAGGATTGTATTTTTCACATAAAAGGCACTTTTGAAAGTGCTTTTTAACTTGAATTACTAAAACAGTGGTAGAATAGGTATCATCTAAGATCTACAGATAGCAGGCATGAGGCCACTGGGACAGCAGCAAAAGAAAAAAAATTTCAAAGCCCAAGACGTTAAACTATGATAACTCGACTAGCCACAGCTATACTCCCCAGTGTAAGGTAAATTCCTTTTACCTTCCTGGGATCTACTGAGATCCCAACAGTACTAAGAAGGGGAGGGGAGGGAGATGATGAGCATGGCATATGTGGAAGTGGTGGTTTATTTACAGCCAGCTTCTTCTTTGACCCTCAAGTCCCTAAGGAAAAAACTGTTGTGATGTGTTGGGAAAAGAGGCTAAGAGAAGTAGCAACATGACTCCTGTCTTCAATGATATTTTGTCAACTTCCTCAGGACCCAACCTACAGTCCCATGTCAGATAGGTCAGGGATCCATTGAATCAGGAAGCTATAAAATTTGGATGTCATAACCCACAGGGGCTCATTTCTAGTGGAAAATTAAAGTATCTTCTTTATGAGGCAAAAATGACCTTTTTTCATTCGTGGAGACGGTGAGTTTTCTGACTGAAAGAGTAGGCCTGAATTCTCAAAGGGAGCTCTGTCTACTTCAAGTATAAGCTTAGTAGTTCTATTATTTCCTGCCTTGGACAAATATAACTGTGACCTTGGGTAAGTCATTCAGACTCTTTGGGCCTCAGTTTCCTTCTTTGTAAAAGATGTTATAAGATCAAACAGCTCTAAGGTCATTTACAGCTTTAAATCTTTGATCTTATAACATCTTTCACACCTTATCCCTATTGCCTCTGCAGTTTTCTAGCTGGACCAAATGTTTTGGCTGCCTCTGAACCTACTTTCAGGAAGGCAAGCTCTCCTAGACCTTTTTCATGACCTTACTACCCGAGGATCACCAGGTAAAACCTTAGGTTGCCCTTTCGCCTTACCTGTCTAAAAGGACTGGACTAAAAAACAATGGGTCAGAGGTAGAAATACTCATCCCCAGTGACCTCAGATTTTCATTACAAACAGACGAGGTAAAATGAGCCACCTCCCAGTGGGTAGCTCCTCCACTAAAGAAGAGAAAAGTAGCAACATGAACAAGGAAAAATTCATCTAATTAAAAGTGATTTCTAGGTGTAGGGGACAAAACCCAGGCAGGTTACCGGGCTGGCAGGCTAAGCATTGACTTGTACAATTGCCTAGAACGAGACTGAACACAGAGCAAGGCCCCTAATCATGAGGAACAAACTGCTTAGGTTTAAGGGCTAAGAAAACAATCCAGTTAATGTATCAGAAAATGTCTTTCTAGCAGCATTTAGTTAGAATCCATGATTCCCTCCTGCAGAGCCCTGTGACCTCATCCTTCCTCCCCTGCCCTCCCAGACTATTTATACAGGGTTTTTCCTGTTGTAACTTAACATATAATTTACAGCAAGGAAACCGGAGTAAATCCTAGAAATGAACATCAGCTCATGTTTCAGACCCCATACTCAGGTGAGCACGGAGGAATGGTCTTTGTTTCATAGGAAAACAGAGTCCAGAATGGTGTTGTATGAAATGTCCACACAGCTTCTGGGCTGGTGGAATGGAACTAATGCCTGAAGAAACCCTTTTTATGCTTCTCTTGAGACTTGTATTTGAAAGTCGAATTTTCTATTCAGCTGTGGTCTTTTCATCAAGAATGCTTGAAAGTCCTCTATTTCACTGAATGACCATTTTTTCCCCGAAGGATTATACTCTGTTTAGCTGGGTAGGTGATTCTTGGCTGTAATCCTATCTCCTTTGCCCTCTGGTCCCTTAATGTAGAAGCTGCTAAATCTTGTGTTATCCTGATTGTGTTTCCACAATACTTGAATTGTTTCTTTCTGGCTGCTTGCAATATTTTCTCCTTGACCTGGGAACTCTGGAATTTGGCTACAATATTGCTAGGAGTTTTCCTTTGGGGATCTCTTTCAGGAGGTGATCGGTGGATTCTTTCAATTTCTATTTCACCCTTTGGTTCTAGAATATCAGGGCAGTTTTCCTTGATAATTTCTTGAAAGATGATATCTAGATTCTTTTTTTGATCATGGCTTTCAGATAGTGCAGTAATTTTTAAATTCTCTCTCCTGGATCCGTCTTCCAGGTCAGTTGTTTTTCTAATGAGGTATTTCACATTGTTTTCTATTTTTTCATTCTTTTGGGTTTGTTTTACAGTGTCTTGATTTCTCATAAAGTCACTAGCTTCCAATTGCTCCATTCAAATTTTTAAGGAAGTATTTTTCAGTAAGCTTTTGGACTTCCTTTCCCATCTGGCCAATTTTGCTTTTTAAGTCATTCTTCTCCTCATTGGTTTTTTAGACCTCTGTTGCCATTTGGGTTAGGCTATTTTTTAAGGTGTTATTTTCTTCAGTATTTTTGGGGATCTCCTTTAGCAAGCTGTTGACTTTTTTTTTGTGATTTTCTTGTATCATTCTCATTTCTCTTCCCAGTTTTTCCTCTGTTTCTCTTACTTGCTTCTCAAAATCCTTTTTGAGCTCTTCCATGGCCTGAAAGTGATTCATATTTTTCTTGGAGGCTTTGGATGTAGGAGCTTTGACTTTGTTGTCTTCTTCTGGTTTTGATCTTCTTTGTCACCAAAGTAAGATAATATAGTCTGACTTTTTCTGTGAGGTTTGCTCATGATCCCAGCCAATTACTTGAGTTATAAACTTTTTGTTAAGGTAGGGGTCTGCTTCCAGTATGGAGAATGTACTGTCCCAAACTTCAGGAGCTGTTTTCAGAGATACTTCTAGGGATCTGTAAATTTTCAGTTCTTCCAAGGTGGTATCATAAGGGGTGAGGTGTTTACTATTTTCCTGGCCTGTGCTCTGGTCTGTGAGTGACCACAAGCACTCTTTTCTGCTTTGGAACTGTGAGGAGAATTTCCTCTCCACCACCACAAGCTCACCACACCAGCACTCCTCCTCGCCCCAGGACCGCCACCCAAAGCTATGACCCAGATCCAAGCACAGACAAAGCAAGAGAATCCTGCCTCAGCACCAGCAAAGAGATCCCTGCAATCCCCCTCTGATCAGCCTCTTGATTCCCCCTTAGTCTGTGAGCCGAGAAGCAGCCACTGCCCTAGGGCTTCGCCAGGACTGATTGGAGCTGGGACCAAGCTTCTCTTTCACCGAGGTCACAGACTTTTCCTACTGACCTTCTAAGTTGTCTTTGATGTTTGTGGGTTGAGAAGCCTGGAAACTGCCACAGCTGCCAGTGATTTAGTCCTCTGAGGGCTGCTCCAGGTTCACTGAGGCCTAGTCTTTGCCTCTGTATCCACGCTGAACTGTGTTCCTTTCCCAGCCCAGTGCAATAGACCTTTCCAGTCAATCATCCAGGTTGTCTTGGGCTGGAAATTTGTTTCACTCTGTCTTTTTGTGGGTTCTGCTGCTCTAGAATTTGTTTAGAGCCATTTTTAACAGGTATTTGGAGGGGTTTGGGGGAGAGCTCAAGCAAGTCACTGCTTTGGCTCCGCCATCTTGGCTCCACCCCTTTCACCCCTACTCAATAAACTCCAATGGCTCGCTATTGACTCGTAGAGCAAATACAAAATCCTGTTTGGTGTTCAGAGCCCTTCATAACCTGCTGGCTCTCCCCCCTCCCCCCCAGTACTCTGATCCATTGACACTGGCCTTCTGGCTGTTCTTCAAACAAGACCCTTCATCCCTTGGCTCTGGGTATTTTTTCTGGCTGTCCTGACATATGCCAGGAATGCTTTCTCCTCTTCTCCACTTTTTGGCTTCCTTCAGTCTCAGCTAAAATGCCACCTTCTACAGGAATCTCTTAATTCTAGTGCTTTCCCTTTCTTAATTATCTCCAATTTTTCCTGTATTTAACTTGTTTGTTCATAGGTTTTGCATGTTGTCTTCCTGGTGACTGTGAGCTCCTTGGAGGCAGGGACCATCTTTTGCCTTGCTTTGAATCCCCTTTGCCTAGCACAGTGCCTGGCACATAGTGGGCACTGAATAAATGTTTACTCACTGACTGGCAGCAGAGGGGTCACAAAGGATGAGGACTTAGGCCTAATCAGATTAGGTCATTAATAGATTGATGGTTACTTTTTATAGAGCAGTTTCACTTGGGTCTTGATGTTGGAAGCCAGATTTCAGAGTGCTGAGGAATGAGAGGAGAGGAGGGAAAGACAATATCAACAGCTTTTCTTTTCATTTGACTGAGAGAGAAGTGTTATCAGATGATAGCTTAAGGGGAGAGTATGGATGATGTGGGCATGTTTCTGGAGGCAAAGAATGAAGGAAGGAAACATTAAGTACTTTCCTGTGTTCTCTATTTACCATACTGAAGCCTGGCTCATGGTACTTAATGGAGTGCTTCCTAAGTGCCTAGTGATTGAGTGCTTGAAGTCAAAAAGGAGATGAACGGGTATTCTAGGTGCCTAAGAAAAAATGGGAGCTCTATGGGCGTGGCCAGACCATAGATAAAGCAGGGAAGTTTCACAAGACTTCAGGGGCAGCAGGAAATCACTGGAGAGTTTTGAGCAGAGAAGTGGCCTGACTAGATCCATCTGTCTTTTATTCTGGCCTGGCCTCATGATATCCTTGGTCTGTGGAACCTACCGTCCAGCTGAGAGAGCTGCTTGGCGCACTGTTAAATGCCTTGCCCTGGATGCCCCAGTCAGTGGTATGGGAGCTTGGGCTTAAAGCCTTAGGGCAATTTGAGTCAGCCATGGTGTAAAGCAGGAGTTGGGGGGAAAGGCAGCATCCTAAGGTCTCTGTGCAAAAGAATGTAGCAATGCTCAGAGAATGACCAGAAGTGTTTAATGATCTCTTTTTAGTTTGGACCAACAGTTATTAGGTAATTGACTCGAGTATCCTCTGCTTTTATGGATCAGGCAGGAGAAGGAAGCATACATCAAAGCAAAGTATGTGGAGAGAAAGTTTGTGGATAAGGATTCTGCCTCTTCCTCACCTCCAGAGGAAGGGAAGAGAGCCCCGTGCCAAAGTCGGGAGGAGAAGGGACTCAGCACCTCCAAACCAGTACTAGAGGACCACGTTGGGACATCAGTCCAAAGTCTAGGTGCCGATCCATTTTGTAAGTAATCATTGCCTCAAGCATTGTGGCCAGTTATTGTAGTGAATTAATTTAATGAATTGTTAGCATAAGGCAGGTAAACCCAAGGTCCTTCTTTTTCAGCCTGCGCAGGAATTGGTAAATTTCTTTGCTAGTTGTCATCCTTAAAATATTGTCCTTTGGGACGCAGCTATCATTCACAACGAGATGGTAGGCACATTCCAAAAATCAAACTGTCACGTTCAGATAGGCTGACAAAAATTCTATTTGGTTCATCGTTTTCCCCCAAACCTAACCCAAGCCAACAACTTCTTAATTACCTAACTTCCTTTTTGCTCTTTCGAAATCTCCCCCAATAACACTCTTTCCTGCCCTTTTCCCTCCTTATTGCCTGCTTTGTGCTTTGATAACTTGCATGTACCCAGCGGTGGCTGTAAATAGCGACGAGGCCAGGCGGGAATCTCTGTTCTGTCCTGATGAGCTAGATTCACTCTTCTCCTACTTTGATACCTCTTCAAAACTACGTAGTAGTAAGTACTCCTCTCTCTGGCTGGAGACTTCCAAGTCTATGCTAGTGTTCATTGTGTGGTGGGACCATTTCTTTACCTGTGAACTCATTTGTCTTAGAGCATCACTCTGAACCATGTCAGAATCGTATCAGAATTTCAGCATTTTGCTTATCCTGACCTTTTGAGAGGATCAGACCCTTTAAAATATCTCGATGTAAATAAAGGATGATTTTAGACTTTGGTGATCCATCTATCTGGATAAGCTGAGTGCTTAAAAATTATTAATTGTTTGGTGAATGTATTTCACTGTTTTCAAATTCATTGGTGATGGCCGAATTCTGGATGAATTGGAAGTGAGCAAGCTTTAGCATGCTGCCTATGAAGCATATTCCTTCTGTGGTGGGGGCTTATTCCTTCTTCATCTTCTATTTTAAACAGTCAAAAGCAATGACAGTGGAATCCAGCAGTGCGCTGACGATGTCAGAGAAGGCCTGTCCTCAGTGGTTTCAGCTAATAGCTTATACGAGCCAGGTGGGTTTTTTTTTTCCACAATTAAATTGTATTTAATTTGGCTTTTGCCCAAAGGTATTTCTGAAAACTCTGCTTAGTTCTTGAGAGAGTCACCAAGTAAAGCCAAGAGCAGATCAGAGAAGCCTCACAATGTGATAGGGAAGTCACCCCTTTGCTCGCTGAGGCTCTGTTCAGTAAGAAGGCCCTCCCTTACTTCTGCCTTTAGTCCCAAGAATCAGTGAGAAGGATCCCAGCAGCAGCAGCCAGAGAACGGCCCGACTTTCCCCTCGTCCTTCTGTCTCTTTGCCACTTGGAAGTCCTTTGGATGCTCTTCCCTTCCAGGCTATGTCAGAATTCCCAACTGGCTTTTTTGCCCCTGACTTGTACTTGGCACCAATACTCATGGCCTCCCACCTTCACCAGGTGTTGTCTCAGCAGAAGTTGGGTCCTTTCTGAGCTGCAGCATGGAGCATCTGACCATCCGCTGGGTGGTGACCATGCTATAAAAGTTGTCAGCCGTCCCCCATCATTTTTGTCTGGGAGGAAACCCAGAGGCCCCTTGGGGAGTTTGACCTGCAGTCTAAGGACTAATGCGCAGCAGACTGACCTGCCCTTCCCCCAAGTCTGTGTGCCTTGGAGTTGGCCTCTTGGAGGCCTTTTCAGCCTCCTCCAGGCGCAGTTAAAAGCTGACCCTTGCCAGCACAAGGCAAGTATTGACTGGTGTGCTCTAGTCCAAGAAGAGTTGACTCCCAGGCCACCCTGTTAGCACTTTTGTACTATGGAACGTGGCTCATGGATATGTTTCCTTTTCAGAGGGAGAAAGACGAGATTCTTCAGTGTTTCTTGAATTTAAGCATCTCCACCCAGGACTCCAGCTGTATCGGGCTTCCTATGAAAAAAGGCTTCCTGACATGGCTGAGGCATTGGCTCACGGAGCAGATGTCAACTGGGCAAATCCTGAAGAGAATAAAGCCACACCACTTATCCAGGCCGTCTTAGGGGTAGGGAAGCCATGCACTGCCCTTTGGTGGGGACGGCTGCAGAGAGACAGTCTGGAGTGTCCGTCTTGGGAACAGCTTCAGTGTGAAGATCTGGGAGCCTAGATTAAGAACTGGAAGAGAGCTTGGAGGTCATTTTACAGAAAGCTGAAGCAGGCCGAGGTTAGGTAGCTGGCCCAGGGTCATGCAGCCAGGAAGTGTCTGAAGGCAAGATTTGAACCCAGATCTTCTGATTCTAGGTTGGGTGCTCTGACTGCTATACCCTGGGCACTTTTGGCAACAGCAAGGAAGTGGCTCATTCAGTCATGATTGAAAATGGGTCTTCTAAGGGGGCAGCCAGGTGGCACAGTGGATGGAGCACCGGCCCTGAAGTCAGGAGGACCTGAGTTCAAATCCGGCCTCAGACCAAACACTTGACACTGACTAGCTGTGTGACCCTGGGCAAGTCACTTAACCCCAGTTGCCTTAAAAAAAAAAAGAAATAAAGAAAATAGGTCTTCTAGGTTACGTTCCCGGCTAATTAAGCTTTTTTGTTGTCATTGTACCTAATGAGTTGGAATTGGTGAGACTTGAAGTGTGCCATCTCTTTGACAGAGGCACTGAGAGTGAAGAGACTCAGCCTTTGGGGCAGACGACAGACTCGGGGGGGGAGCTGGGGCAGGAGGGGCTGTTCCTTTGTTGCTTGTCTTCAGGGCCAGAGAGGAGGTGTTGTCAGGGCAGATCTGGGAAATCTCAGGTCCTTGCCGTGTTTCCACTTTCTCCTTCATTCTGGCTGCCTGTTATTTCCTAGGGCTCCCTGGTCACCTGCGAGTTCCTCCTGCAGAATGGTGCGAACGTGAACCAACGGGACGCCAAAGGGCGAGGCCCGCTGCACCACGCCACCGTCTTGGGACACACTGGGTAAGAGCCCAGGAGTTCCAGGCTGCACTTTTGTCACGTTATTTCAGTAAGATGGAATTTGAAATGGGAAGGAAAACAAAGTCTGCTCCCTCTCAGTCTCCCGTGTTTGAAAAAACCTTTGGGGCCATTTTTGACTCTCTTGACTCCATCATCTCATCTCAATCACTGATGCAGTTACCGACAAAGCTCTTGGATCTGTGCGGACCCTTCTCTGTTCCCACTGTAGCCACCCCAGCCCGTTCAGTCAGTGAGCATTTTTCGAGCTCATCCTGTGTGCCAAGCACTGTGCTATGTGCTGGGGATCTCTGCCTCTGCCGTTCGTTCTAATGAAGTAGAAGGAAGATGACCATAGTGGGGAAGGCTATAGAAGTTGGGGTGATCACAAAAGGCCTTTTGCAGAAGGTGGGATTTGGACTGAGTCTTGAAGGTAGCCAGGGCGTCGCAAAGGCAGAGGTGAGGAGGGAGGGTGTTCCAGGACTGGGGAACAGTCACTGCAGAGGCATGGAGAGGGGAAATGGTAGTGGGGTTATTTACTAGGCTCTTGTTGTCATCTGCCATGCCTTTTGTGTCGGCCTCCCCAAAGACCTTCCTGCTCGGGTTTCCTTCCTTCTGCATCAAAGCAGCAGCGGCATTTTTTAGCTCCAGTCTCTACAGTAACCCCTGGCTTTCTTCTGACTCCAGAGGCGCACAGCCAGCTCATTTCCCTTATGCTCTTGGGGTGTGAGGCTCTGGGCATTGCTTCATTTTCTTGACCTGAAGCACCAAAGGAAATGGTAGCTTATTTCTCAGCCCTTCCGTGTCTCACATCTCTTTCGTGTATTTGTCATCTCATCAATACGGTCACACCCTTGCCTTGGTGAAGATCCTACCAACCCCTCTTGGCCCTTTCCATCTTGTGGGGCCCTCGTCCAGAAGTTGTCCCGCCCATGGGCCCCTGGTGTTTCTCCCTCTTCCCTCCAGTCAGGCGCCCCCCTTCTGATTCACCATGGGCCCCATGTTCTTTTTGGCCATCCCTGGAGTGGAGGGAGCCACGAGAGAAACCCCGAGGCCGGGTTCCCTTCAACACGTGGCATTTTCAGTCCTCTCCATCGGACGTAATAAGGCCATTTTGCCTTGGTCTCTAGGAGTGCCCCATGCCTGCCTTTGCCATTTAGAAAAGGTGGGTTGAAATTCCCGTTTTGCTGGATTTTAAGCTAGATTGGAAGGATAAAGATTGTCATTTGTATAACTCTACATCCCCCTCATGTGCTCCTTGTACCTGGGCACTCCCTTAACGCCATGCTCCCTGTTGAGAAGATGCTCTTTGTGTAAATGGAGTCACTTGCCTTCTTAAAACCAGTCTGGGCTTGTGGGGGCTCGCTTTTTTTACACAGGCAAGTGTGTTTGTTCCTGAAGCGAGGTGCCAACCAACACGCCACTGACGAGGAAGGGAATGACCCATTGAGCATTGCCGTAGAAGCCGCGAATGCAGATATCGTGACCCTGTAAGTTGGCTCCGTCTCCCTAGGAATGACCAGGAGAGATGGAGGCTGCGTCGTCTGTGGCGGGCGCATCAGAAGTGGGTGGGGAGCACCCGATGAGATCTCTCTTCTGCACACCACACAGTCAGAATGTGAGGAAGATGACTGGGGTCTCCTTGTCACGTAGTCACATCTCAGAGAGTGAGAAAAGAGGACACCCCTTCTCAGAGTCTGGCAAGGGAATGGAATGGCATGACTGAGGCACGAGCTTGCCAGCAGTATGGCGGGGCACAGCTGGGAGCTCTGAAGGGTTGGACCAGTAGTGTTGCAGTATCTCTTGGGAGCACTGACGGGACACAGGGAGGGGAGGTGAAGAGAGAGACGCCCAGAGACTGAGGGAGAAAAAGAGAAACACCTAGAGACTGGGGGAGAAAAAGAGAGACACCCAGAGACTGTGGGACAAAAAGAGAGACATCCAGAGACTGAGGGAGAAAAAGAGAGACGCCCAGAGACTGAGGGAGA